TCTGATTGATTTATTGGTAACTGCTTCATTAACAATGATGGCTGCTTTATGAGGCATTTTAAAAGAGAAGAAATAAAGTAAGAAATACAACATTATCAAATTTATCTATACAGGCATTGCCTTCTTTTATAGTGCTGTTTGATGCTCAAGTTAACACTATTTACAAGTTTCCAACAATCTACTATAATAGCATTTTGAGTATAGACGTAGAAACCCTTCAAATTAGCAAATCTCAATCTCCTCAAATCGCAATAACACTTGTTGTAAACAGTACAGCTTCTAAACCCTACGTAGTTTCAGTACCTATGCCAATTTCAGGAGTCCGGTAATGCCTCTGGTGTGGAAGCTGCTCTTTTACGGCTTATCACTCCAGTCGTAAAGCTTTACACTGGAAAAATGGTGCGCATTTTGTAATTTCTACTTCTTTACATAATTGCATATCATATTTGAAGTGTGTGCCTCTCATATCTGAAGCGATGGAGTGTTTTGGAGGACAGGGATACATTGAAGATACGGGGATTCCATCAGCTTTACGAGATGCGCAGGTAATCGCATGTTTTTCATTCATTTTCGTAAATATTAATATGTGCCATTGCGGGTTCAGGTAACCCCTATATGGGAGGGAACAACGAATATTCTTTCTCTTGACGTTTTGCGTGTTTTCGCTGCTAAAGAGGACGTGTACGATTTGTTTGAGAAAAGAGTAAACGAACATCTACCTGCAAAAAGTGAGCCCTCATAAAATGATCTTTTCCATACAATATTTGAAGCGCTGGACTTAAAAGTTTGCTGGATTTACCTTTTCAGGTGTAGAAGGTCTCGATAAACCAATCGCTGCAGTTCGAGAAGCTATATCTTCTCTACGCACGGTTCTTCACAATGCGTTGACATCTGATGGTTCCATGCGTGTGGATGTTTGCGCGAGACAAATTGCTTTTGGGATAGCAAGGATCTGGGCAGGTAAACGAATTGGTCTATGAAGTAGTAGATTCAAATGTGATCCATTCAGTTAGCAGTTGGTATGAAATGTTCCTGAGATGGCTAAGAACTCAAAAATTTGTGTTAATGGGGATATTTGTGTACTAGTCCTGCTCTTTTTTTCTTCCAAGAAGAATTTTGAGGTTAAGCACATTGTGAATCATTCTTTTTGCATCTCCCATCATATCCGCATTTCATCTATGGGATGCTCATGACCTGAGTTCTTACCGTGGCTTCGAGACTCCATGGATAATTACCTTAATAATAGACTTTTAAACAACATTTAGGTTCTCTTCTTATTCATCATGCCTCCGAAGAAGATGCAACGAAATCTGATAGAGATGTCGCAGAAAGGTAGACCATTTAGAGAGAGGTTAATTCCACTATCAATATTTTATTCAGATGGTGTTGCGAACAACCATTAGTGGATGTGAAAATGGATTGGTTAAGCAATAATCGCGTTCAAATCGATCGCGATATTGTATTCCAGAATTTTCCCGAGAAATTCGATTGTAGCAAACTGTAAATTTTGCCAACATCGTGCTACCTCAAATCTCTACCATTTTGTACATTATTGATTAATCAGAATCTTTATTAATGAAAGATCTACCTCCGTTCCTTTCTTCTTACAACATGCGTTTTTCATGGCAGATCATGGTTGTAGTAACTTTGGTTTCATATCATTTCATCTCGGTCAAGGTGTCATTGTAATTAAAAAGAGTAAGCAGTTAATCTACTTTCTAGTAATTCAATAGTGTGTTTAAACAGTTAGTTTTAAAACGAGTCCCAATTCAATTGTCCGAGTGATCGACGAAAAAGTGGACTTCTCTCAAAGGCAGGGAAATTTCTGGAAGTTCTTGAATTAACGATAAATAATATAATAGTGGCAAGGGCCTAATTGTGAAGAAGCCTAGAAAAGGCTCGACATAGTTAAAAGTTATGTTCAACTACTAAAGCACCTGTAAACAGTATGCTCAGCAAGTTTGCACAAACTGGGCGGAGAAGTCTGGCTTGGAAAGTAGTTGATCCTGAAAGTTGCACAGCAGACTAGTATCAGTTTCAAACCTTTCTCTATTTATTCTTATAAGTGCTGTCCCTTAAACAAGTGTAATTATTGCTGAACATAGACAAATTTTTAATTATGATAAATCACAATAGAGTTGAACATTAACGGGATTTCCTTTTTTCTATGTTCCTAGACAGAAGATTTA